GAGTGGCTTATGGGCGTTTTGTCAACGCTTGTTTGCAAATAAACACAAATCGTTGTTACATTATAATAATTTATGCGCCTTTGGCACTGTTCGCTGTCCTCTGTTCGCTGTTTCGTCGTTCGCCATGGCAACGAGGCCTAGCAGCAAAAGTTAATACGTTCAAATTATAATTTACATTTTGCATTGCAATTATATAATAAAAATTGCAACACATTTGTCCATTATGCATGCAAATTCAATAAAAAAAAAAAAAAAAAAAAAAAAAAACGAAAATGAGCGAAAAGCCCCAGCAGCATTTTATGCTTCCCTTTTTTGTCTTCCTCTTCTATCTGCTCGATTATTCATTGTGGCAAATGGCAGGTCTTTGGCAGCGACAACAATTGGCGTTAAAGCTTTATTAAATTTTAATCACATAATTCGAATCATTCACGCTACAACGCGTGATTCGTTTCTCTGTTTTTTCTGAACACATTTCATTTAGGTTTATCTTTGTGTTTAACGATATTTATTTATTTTTTATGGGCAAATGAATTATGTCGCTCTTAAGTATGCAACAGTTTTTTTATTTCAATAATAATGCTGTTGGATTTTTGTTTAAAAAGTTAATTAGTTAATGACTCGTAATGGGGGCAAAATAGCCAACTGCAGCAGCTGAAAATGCTGAAAACTATTGCGATTTATATGAGATTATAGAGTTATGATAAAATTGTGAAATATGTATATAGAGAAATTGTGGGGTATTGTATACATAGAGTTGCCAGATGGGTTCGTCGAATATGGACAGATCTTGATAGTTTAAGAATATCTAATTGACAGTTATATTATGACAAAGCAATTATTGATAAACATTTAATTGATTATACAGATTTTTTTCGGTATGTAGAGGAATATTATTAAACATTTATTATTTGATAAATTTATTTTAGACATTTTAATATGAAATTATTTCATATATACATAAATTTTTGTTTTATTTATTTTTATTTTTTATTTATTTTTTTTTTAATTAATTGATAAATTAATAATAATTAATTTTTAGATCCTTTAATATGAAATTTTATATATTTTTAACGATATTATTTTTCTTTTATAAAAATTTTTGTATTTCAATATTGCATTTATATAAAAAATATTCAGACATGGCTAATTAGAATAGCGTTGCACTTAAACCAAGTCTCTTGGAAAAGGCTCAGCCAATCACTCAGCTAAAATAAAATTTGAAAATGAATCTCTTTATACTCTCCAATCCTCCACACATACACCCATACAACTATTCCCTATAGCTGACCAAAAGTAGCCCCAGCGCAAGCCAATTTAGAGTGTGAATTTCTATTTCTCTCGAAATTCTTTCAGTCGACTGTCGACACTCTTATTAATTGCTATTTTAACAGTCTCTTAGCTAGCGTTTTTCCTAATATGTTGATTTAGTCTACGCATATACAATTAATTTGTCAAGACAGGCCAGTCATTAATATTTAACTACAACTTGGCATTCCAACCCAAACCAAAAACTATAGCCCAGAGAATAGTACACTATGAATGCCCTCCGCCTCCCTCTCTCTCTCTCCCTCTTTCTTCCTTTCTCTCTGAATTAGAGCAACAGCTCCGTCTGATTTTTGGCCGCAATGCGCCGAGCCATTGCTATGTACTTAGCCATACTTAGACGAAATAACAAAATTAATTAAACATTCAGCTGCCGGACGCTGAGCAAATACAGTTATTTATACTACACTCAACTTAATTACAAAGAGCAGCTAAAGTAGCAGCAACAGAGGCAGCTCCAGCAGCAGGAGCCAGAGCAGCAGCAGCAGCAGCAGGAGCAGAGGCAACATCAGCCAAGATGCTTAATCCAGCTACGTAGCTACGCTTCATTAATCAGACGCGACTCTAAGCCACAACAAAAGCGAACGCCAACAACAACTGCAGAGGCAGCAACAGCAACAGCAACAGCAGCAGCAGCAGCAACAAGATGGCCAAGCAAGGTACGCAGCTCGTTCTTGGCAACATAGTTGAAAAGGCAAAACAAAAAAAGAATTAACAAGCAACTTAACACTTTAACGCCTTTCACTCCACTTTACGATGCTTGCGAACAATGTAATTACTTCAAACAAGAAGACGCTGCCGGGAGTTGCCTCCGGTTAGCTGCTGCTGCTCCTGCTGTTGCTGCTGCTACGGCTCCTGCTGGCTCTGGTTCTGGTTCTGGTTTTGATTCGGGTTGTGGTGCCCTGGTGCTGCTGCCCTTGTGGCCACAGCGACTGACTGAAGTTGGACGCTTGGCTGGGTTTTTTGGTAACGTGGCGGAAGTTAGGCTCAGACTCCGAGCAGGAGCAGGAGCCTGCAGCGAGGGGCGACGGTTGGAAGTTGACTGCATTACCATTTGATTATAGAAAACATTTATTTAGCTGCCTCCTGGCTGGCAGAACTAGTCTGGCAGAGCTGGTCGGCCATTAAGCTGCCAGTGCACATAAAATGGCTGACTGCGAGCCACACTCACACACACACACACACACAGACACACGCACGCCCACACACGCACACAGAGCTGGCTTGCCTTAGACTCTGGCGCCGTCAACTAACCGCAATGCAAATCCGCAGAGCAAACAATGTCAGGTGATGTTGGTGTTAGTATTTACCGTATATATGTGTGTGTGTGTGTGTGTGTGTGTGTGTGTGAGTGGGTGCTGTGGCTGCAGCAACTCTTGAATGTGTATCTGTGTGTATGTATGTGTGTGGGGCATCAACAGCCACTGACAGGCTGACAGACAGCCAGGCGGCTGGGCGGACAGGCAGGCGGACAGGTAAGGTAGGCAGACACACCTATGCAACTTTTCACGTTCGAGCAGTTACCCAAATGCCCAACCTCTAAAACTGTGAGCTCAAAACGTAATTCAATCTGCAGTTACAGTTGATTTTCAACAGCTGCAGATTTCGCCCCACGAGTCTAAAAGGGACAGAGACAGTGAAAGAGAGAGAGAGCGAGTGAGCGAAAGTTGAGTGCTGAAACAGTTGGCATCATGTGTTAACGGGCCGACGAGACTGGCTGGCTGGCTGGCTGCTTGGCTGCCTTTGCCATTTGTCTTACCAAATGTTTGGCAGGCTGACAGCTTCAGGCTTTAGCCGAGCATGTGTGTGTATGAGTGTGTGTGAGTGTGTGTGTGTGTGTGTATGTACCGCTGCACAAACAGCAACTTTACCTCAAACTGAATTTTTGGTGCAAGCAACTAGATTGCAACTTAGCTGCCTCTGCCTGGCAACTTGACTGTAAGTAATGCAATCGGCATTGGGCCGGTAGATGTGGCATTTTCATGCCACATGCTGGCCACAACAGTCACAGCACTCCGAGCTGAATGCAGCTGACAACTGGCTGGTAAAGCGGCTGGCAACTGACTGTTGATGCGATTGCGAGTGAAGCTATCGATGCATAGACTGTGATTGCTTGAAAGCCATGTCTAAGTAGCTGGCAACTGGCTGTTATATAGATACCAGGTTGCTGGCAACCTGAATGTAATTATTGACTACTGAATGGGAACGATGCGAGGAGTGAATGAGGCTCCTTTTTTGTTAGCCAGATATAGTGAGTACAGCTTGCTAGAGAAACTATAGAGTATGTCTAATAAGTAGCTGGTAGCTGACTGGAAAGTTGCTGGTAACTGCTTAGCAACTGACTGGCAACCAAACCAAAGAAGGAGTGCGAAGATAATTAGGTATATTTTTGGTGCAATTTTTAGCCTAGCTTTAAAAGAAAATGTAGCTGGTAAACTCACTTGCAAGTGACTGGCAAGTGGCTTTCAACTTGATGGTAAAAGTTTCATTTTAATGAATAAAGGAAACGGAGCAAGCCAATAATACATAATTTATTTTTAATATTCAGCTTAATTTTCAGATCAAACCATCTGGTAACTTTACTGCAAGTACCTGGCAAAGTTACAGACAAGGGATCAATATGTTATCTCAATATTAATAGGTAAAAACTTTTTAAATTTCATGCCACGAGCTTTCTATTTGCCACACTAGGAAACACTCTTTCTAGGAAACTTTCTGGCTGAAGATTCAAAAGTAATTCGATATTGTTGATGTCTAAAAATAGACTCTATTAATTGACTGGCAACCGTCTTGCAGCTGCCAGGCAACTAGCTGGTAAACTCAAAACTTATATCGATATTTTTAGGCAACAAATTTTAGAATTTAATACTTGCAGCATACATTCTAATAAGTAGTTAACTTTCTTGCAACTGCCTGGCAAATTTTCAGAGTGGAGACTGAAAAGCTTCTGATGGAAAACAAACCTTTACGAGCTCTCCACTTGCAACATAAACTCTCACAGCTAGCTGGTAACTCTCAAGCAAGTGGCTGGCAACTAGCTAACATGTAGATTACAGCCTGCTGATAATTAATGTTAACGTCATGCGTCAGCTGAACCAACCGGACAGCGTTTCTATGGCATATGTTGAGCAAAGGTCTGCAAGGGTTAAAGTCGCCTGAAAGGCCTTGAGGCAAAAGCAAGGTGTTGCAAGCGGAAGTGCCGCAAACAGCCACACCCACACACTCAAACTCACACTCTTGTGTGTATGTGTGCAATGCGCGTGTGTGGTTGAAAGTGGCTTAGCTTAGCGACATAATTAATTTATATGCTGGCGCTGGTAAATGTTTGCGAAAAGTGTCAGTTGTTTGCACCACAAACTATGCATCAACCAGGTGGCTGTATGTGTGTGTGTGTGTGTGTGTTGATGTATTGGTGTGCGCTGCATTTGCATAGCTGTCAGGTGCGCGCTTATTGAATTGATTTATTATAATTGCAATGCAGCTGACGTGCGGACAGACGGACAGACAGCGAGAGCTCATGCCACATGTGGCAACTCTTTAATTACACGCTCAATAAAGTATATTTTGTACATCTCTGTGGTTGTGCGTGTGTGTTTGTGTGTGTGTATTTCTGACAATTGAATAATGCATGTGGCTTAATTAACGGCATGCATATAAACCACTTTGAAAATACTTACCAAACGGCAGCTGGCTCAATGGCCCACTTCAAATTCAATAAAAGGCAACAACGACAACGACAACAACAACAATAACAACAACGGCAACAGCACAATGAACATTTCATATGCAGGCAAAAGTGTTTCAAGTGTTTTAACTGTTTTTTGTTTCTTTTTGTGCTTTTTTTGTTCTTTTTTTTAAGGAGCTAACGGTAAAGTTTTTGACACACACACACAGAGAGAGAGAGAGAGAGAGAGGGAAATGTAGCACACAGAGGCTGCTGCTGCTGCTCCTGCTCCTGCCAACATATGGTGGCAGGCTGTGTGTTCACACTTGCCTAAAAAACCTAACACGCACGCACACACACACACAGGCACACACAGACACAAGCGAAAAAAAGACAACTAAAAAGGGGGAAAAACCAAGACGCAGTTGGAAAATAATAATAAATGAGCCACGAGCAGGAGTGGAAAATATAATATTTAAGCACAAGGAAAAACAGTTTAAATGGCAAACACAGCGATTCTGCGTGAGCGAGTGTGTGTGTGTGTGTGTTGACAGCAGTCTGAACTTTGAACTGGGCTCACTTGATAAGTCCAAGCGCCCACACGTATAAAATTCTTACTTTTATTTATAGTTAGTCTTTGTCTTTAGTTTAACTTCAGTTTATATTTTTAATTTTTATTTTTAACTTTATTTTATTGCCTTAAACTGCACTCACTAAAGCACTTTGTAATTGCAGCAGCAGTAGCACACATTAGCTGTCAGTCACAGTGTTCCCTTAAAGTTCAGTTAGCTGGAGTGGGTTTGGGCCACAAAGGCCCGTCAAGCGCACACAACTAACGCGGTCGCAGGACGACAGCCAACTGCGCGCTGAGCCTGAGCATCCTGTGCAGCCCAGCGTGGCTCGCAGGCCGAGCGCAACTCGGCTGCAACGTGTTCGATATCCTTTGGCCGTGCCCGAACCAGCTCGAGCCAGCTCGAACGTGGCTCGAGCATGGGCTGGAGCAGTCGCAACTGATAGAGGGAGACACAGTCTGCCCGCTGACCTACTCGCTCCCCATGGCAAACAGCCTTTGTTTGCGCGACACTTGTTATCGTTAAAGCGTGTGAGTGTGTTTGTGTGTGAGTGTGTGTGCAACCGCAGCGAACATTTGCAGCCGCGTGTACAACGTGTCGTATGCGCACTTGAGCGGCGGCATTTGCTCAACGCTTTGGCCGCATTTTAGGCGATACGTTTTATGTCTTCCGGCAACAAAAGCAGCTAACATGTATGAATGTCTGTGGTTGTCTACAAATATGTATATGTATGGGTGTGTGTGTGGGTGGGTGTGTGTGTGCGTGCAACGATGACTGTCATTATTTAGCAATTTAAACGATTTGGCCGGGGCGTCAACTATTTACAACTCATTTGCCCGCAGCTGCAGTCAGGTCCTTTGGTAATTGCAGCAGCATCAACAACAACAACAACAACAACAGCAGCAACAGCAGCAACATGCGAGGCAGGTGCAGACTGAGTCTGACGCTGTCCATAATGGCCAGCAAACAAGTCAACAACACTCACGCACACACACACGCACACACACACACACGCACTGTGCAAATATGCATATATAGCGCACACACAGTCAATTAAATTTTCAACTGGGCATCAAGTGTTAAAGCCCTGAAAAGGCCCATTGAGTCAGCATTTAGGCATGGGCCAGCTGGCTTTGTTGTTGCTCGGTCTGTTGGCATTTATTTTTGACGGGCTTTAAGCGCTATACGCCAAACGAAATTTGATTAAATTTTGGTGCTGCACTCGAACACAATTTGTAATTCAAATTAAAAGCGCAAATAGTTGATTTTTTGCTGCTGCTGCTGCTGCTGCTGCTGCTGTTGCAAAGGCGGGCAACAAAAGGCATACCAAATTACTGCTGAAGCAAGAGCAACAAACAGCGGCAGCAACAGTAGAAAATGAAATGAAACGCAGTCAGTGGAAATGATGGCCAGAGATGCTGCTGATGCTGATGCTGATGCTGCCAAGCAACTCAACTCAACTCGACTCACAACTCGAAAAACAAAAACAGGAAAAACTAAAGGAAAAAAAGAAGAAAAATGCCGCCGCATTTGAATGCTGCGTGGCAGCAACAATGTTGCATACCACTTGGGCACTTTGTTAGCAGCCAGCAGCAGTCGGCAGCAGTCATATTGCGGCCACACACACACACACACACACATACACACGTACACATACGCTCGTGTGAAAAGTAAAAGCCATGCAGGCATTTGGCCCCACAACATTTGCAAATTCCGTCGAGGAAAGTGTCAGAGCGTCGTTCTTTAATGATGATCGGCACGTGTCCTTACGCAACAACAACAAAACATGGGGGAATAAGCCAGAGACTACGCAAGGGAACAAATTTATTTGCTTAAAACCCACGCAGCAAGCGACAATTGCTAGAATGGTCCAATAAAAATTAAGTTATAATGCTACATATAAAGATCATGTGTGACGAATTTCCTATGAGAAAACATGCAGCTTTGTCTTTGAAGTGTGTGGAATATACAATATGTTGACAGTCTTTAAGTAAAAATTTATAAATGTGAAAATGTTGACTAACTTACAGAACTTGTAGTATGATGCCATAGGAATGAATCCTCCTTCCTTTAAGAGAGTCCATCTAATATTCTGTAACTTGCTTTTAATTTAACTCTGATTTATTTAAAAAAAAAGAAAATGAAAATGATACTAATTGGGCTGCTCTACCATTTCCATTGGTCAGCACCTTTCACATTTGGCCCTGGCATCTAACACAATAACTAGCTGATAATATAATAAAACAAAACTTTATATAAAATGTAATAAATCAAAGAAAAACTTGATTGCAAATGCTAAATCACAATACAAATAATATATAGCAAATAAAAAATAAACAATCAATAGTTGCACTTCATCAAAACTTTTGCATAACCTCAAATTTATATAGATGTTGACTTACGGCACAATTTATTCATCTAAACATTTTCCACAAATAACGCATTCAATTCGAGTAAAATATTATATACACATTTTTTTATTTTTTCGGCTTCAATATAAATAGTGCATACAAAATGTTTAGACGCAAACTGATAAAGTAAGCAGAGCTCAGTTTTTGCATATATGTATGTATGTATGTGTATATAGTAGAGCCACATTGTCTCTATCGAGGTGTTTTGGCAGCACAACAGCAACAGTCAATTTCACACACGCACACAAAGGGCTGAAAAGGGTGAAAAGTAAAAGCCATGCCAGGCATTTGGCATGGAAATATTTTAAAATTCTGGCAACGAAAGTGCAGACAAAACTCTTAAATGACGAGCAGCACGTGCCCAAATAAATGGGGAAGCATAGTTTGATGTGGCAACGCTGCACGCACACACATACACACATGCATACGCATACGTGAAATTGCGAAAGTGGCAATGTATGGCATGTATGTATGTATGTATGTATGTATTTTGAATGCTGCCACCACAGAATAGCGCTCAGCGAGCAGCGAGCCCATTCACATGCGCCTGCAACTCAATTTCGCACAGTGTCTCCCATGGCGTGTCGCGAGCGGCAGAGTGGGTATGGTGGGTGGGGGGTATAGCCATTTTTGGAGGCTTTTGTCCTAGCTGCGGAATGAAGTCTGGCTGCGTCTTGTCTATTGCTGACTTTCCGATTCCAATGTGTCAAATTGTTGCAGCAGCAGATTGCGCTGTCTGCAAGTAGCTCAGCAGCACGTCAGACAGCAGATAAGGAAATGGAGATAGAGCGCGAAAGGGATAAAGTGACAGACGTCGAAGAGAGGGAGAAAGAGACTGAGGGAGAGTGCAAGTGAGCGCGCGAGATGGAGACGGTGTTTTACTTATGCAGATGTGACAAGTGCATAAGCCAGCGCAGGGAAAATGGCTTATTTATATTGATATATTGCACAAAATCAATGCCATATGGCATTTAACGTTTCACTGAGTAGCGTAAACAAGAAATAATTGAAATTTCAATGAAAATAAACGACGATTTAATACGCTTTATGGCAAATTGATATATAAATATACTAAGATGCGCCATTTATACTATTTTCATAAATTTCCTAAAATTAGTCATGCTCTGCTTGGTTTATCCAAATACCAAAAGTGATCGAAGCTATTAGATATTAGTATTTGGTATTTTTGGCATTTCACAATACAGCTTGCGCATCTCTAGCCTTACTGATGCTAAATTACAAATGGCGAACTGTTAAGTGACCTTTAACAGCAGCAATAGCAGCCATTCTGTAATCGAGACCTTGTTGTGGCCTTAATGGCTCATTCCTTTAGACAACTCAACTGCGGAGTGCAGCCACTATGTTGTATGTATGTATGCATATGCTGTGTATCCTTTGTATAATAATAACAACAGTATTTCAATTCTGCGAGCTCACATGCACACACACACACGCATATGCTTGGTATTTTTTTTCTCAGCTCACATACTCGTTTGAAAAGTGTTGTTTTGTTGCTATATTATTGTAGTGAGAGTGTATTACGTTCCGAGTATGACAATAAACGGCAGATAATTAAAGCTCAACAATAATATTAAATTTATGCAGTCGCTTTTATTTTTTTCCGAATTTTATTTTATTCCTTTTTTTTCTGTGGGGTGTTCACGTGAAATTTGCATAAAATCAACATTGGCATTTTCGAATGAAATGTATTGTATTTATGTTAAAAATATATATTTAAAAAAAATAAACATTTTTTACAGTCAATAATCAATCAAACGTAAAATAAATGAAAGAGTATATATGTAAGTGTGTTTGTATGTATGTATATGTATAGAGTAATGCAAAATGAATTGTTACTGCAGCAACTGCTGCTGCTGCTTTTGCTGCTGTTGCTGTTGCTGCTGCCTTAATCGAAATGTTTTTTGCTTTATTATTTAGTTGGTTTTCTTTTTTTTCTTTCTTTCTATATTTGGCTTGCTCTGCTCTGGTTGGCTGGTCTTTAATACGACTTCCTGTGCCATTAAATTTTAGCATAACAAACAAAATACTTTTCGAGTGTTTCCGTTTGCTTGTTTCGGTGACATTTCGGCGGCAACCGGCGGCAATCCAGCAAAACGAGCACCACAAAGCTAAAAGTGCAGTAAAAAATTTGTTGAAATATGCGACCGTCCGTTAGGCAACAAAAATTGCACGAGCTTTTATTTGCACTTCAATTTCGCCCTCGACGCTGCCGGCAGTT